TAGCCATGTCACAAAGCATACTTCATGTCTTTTTTCTCCCTGCAATAAGGCAGGTCCAGTTGTTCATATGAGGCAAAGCAGTACCACGCAAGGTGTATTGGCAAAGTTACTTCAGTTCTCTGCCAATGTCTCCTTAGCTCTAACCCCTTTAATTAGCTGTTGCAGCCCATGCATAATTTTGGATTTATCTTCCATATTCTTAATATGACACCCCAACAGTTTTACTAAAGAACAACCTAAAAAAACCTTTAGAATAAATTTTACCAAAAAAAAGTCTTGGGCCATTACTGAGGAATCAAAAGTTAAATTTAGCCTGTTTTTAACTACTTTCATCAACAACACTCTGTAGAATAATAATAATAATAATAATAATAATAATAATAATAATAATAATAATAGTTTATTATTTATACCCCACCCATCTGGCTGGGTTTCCCCAGCCACTCTGGGCAGCTTCCAATCGAATATTAAAAACATAATATAGCATTAAATATTTAAAAAAACTTCCCTAAACAGGGCTGCCTTCAGATGTCTTTTAAAAGTAAGATAGTTGCTTATTGCCTTGACATCTGTTGGGAGGGTGTTCCATAGGGCAGGTGCCACTACCGAAGGCCCTCTGCCCTGGTTCTGTCATTTAACTATCCCCAAACTATCCCCAAACCAATGACTCTGACCAGGTACTGGTTTTAACATTTAAAGCCCTATATGGCCTAGGACCCTCGTACTTACGGGACCGCCTCTTCTGGTATGCCCCGCGGAGGACCTTACGGTCCGCAAATAATAGTATCTTGGAGGTCCCAGGCCTCAAGGAGGTTAAACTGGCCTCAACCAGGGCCAAGGCCTTTTCAGCTTTGGCCCCAGCCTGGTGGAATACTCTATCGCAGGAGACCAGGGCCCTGCAGGACTTGACATCCTTCCGCAGCAAGACAGAGCTGTTCCGCCTGGCATTCGGTCCAGGCCCAGTTTTGACACCCCCCCCATGGGACCCTGTTAGTTACCTCTTTGGCCCTTTTATCAGCTCATGTGGGACCAACATGGATAGCTGGCCCTGATGAATACTTGAGGTTCCCAGCCCCTATGGTTGTAATTTGTGGGCAGTCATTTAATTTTATCCTGATTCTAATTTTTGAGCTGTATTTTAATTCATTGTTTGATTGTGTTTTAATGTATTTGATATTTGATGTTAGCCGCCCTGAGCCTGATCTTGGCCAGGGAGGGCGGAATATAAATAAAAAATTACTTACTTACTTAACTATCCCCAAACTAGAGTGAAGCAGTGGAACCCCTGAACAAGTGATGACTGGACTAATAAACAAACTCAACCCTGAGATAACAGAGTTGTGGAGTAGGCCAGGTGACGAAGGACTGGGTATACACTCATTTTAAAGGAACAGGTTTGCAATTCAGAGGTGCTAACTGGACCCAATGCTGCACTTTCTTTTTCAGACAGTGCCCTACTGGCCAGGAAACATATTTCACCTTTCTACACTTGGAATGCCAACTGAGTGAGGCTGCACATAGATTTTCGAAGCAGGCAAGCCAAAGGACTTGAAAATAACTTATTCTTGGGTAGTTGTGTTACAGACTGAATTGTTTCTGTGCTCAGTTGAAAGTGATGTTGCTAAACTTTTAAAGCTCTCAAGTGTGTATTGAGATCGTCAAGAGGAGGCCCAGATTATCATCCCCTCCTTTCAAGTGTCATGGTTGCAGCTAAGTAAATCCTAGGCCTCTTTTTTAGTAAAAATCTGCACCTCAAACTCCCTGCTCAAGGAGATGTACGTAGCCAGTTCTATCCACCACCTTTTGGACCGAATAAGAGGCCTATTGTACTTAGGGTTTTTTGTTATTTCAGATGCTTTTTTAAAAAGAGTTTTGTATTTAAAATGTTTGATGTGCTTAACTGGTTTTGTTAGCTGCTTTGAGAAACCTGTTATTAGATTAAGAAGCAGGAAACCAATAGGAATGTTATTATCTCTCAATAGATAGTGCCTCTGAATAGTGGCTGCTGGAGATCAGAGGTGGGAAAGCACCCATTGTGCTCTTGTTTTAGGCATCTGCTTGGCCACTGTGAAAACAGAATCCTTATGGTCTGATCCAGCACCCACTTCCAGACTTCTATTAATAAGATATTTAAGTTTCCCACTCAAGATAGGAAAACAGGCTCAGTTTACATACAGAATTACAAAAGTTTGCTCTCTGAGAACAAACAACCATCTCAGGTGTGCTTCAGCATTCTTAGGTAATTCAGTCACCTAAATAAACCACTGTAGTTGCCCAGACCATCACAGGAGATGTCGTATCACCAAATTATGGAAAGGTGCCATTTCTCTCATATCATCCTAGCGAAACAAATCTGAGTATATTTGAGAATGGCTAAGAGTTGAGTATATTAGCTCTGGAAAGCAATTCCTCTACTTCTTGCTGTAAGCAGTGGATAAAAGCAATTCACACGGGGCAAGTGAGCATCTACTAGATGTAGCTCTAGCATTCTGCACACAGATGGCAACTGCCTCAGGTGAAAACTAATTTAACCCAGGACAAAAGCTGCAGAAGTGTAAAGGGTCCACAAGCTCTGAACTATGAGATTGCTAGTAAAAAGAAAAGAAAAGAAAAGTGTTGGAACCCAAACAGGAAAGATGTCTGGAAGCAGGCATGGAGGAGCAGCTGTGGCTTCAAGAGCAGTCCCCCTCGAGAATGTACTTGTTGTGAATTCCACTAATACCTGCAAGAAATCAAAACTTCAGCAGCAAAAGTTTAGCTGTGATTGATTATAGAGGTCATGCATTTATAAATAGAGACAGCGATGCTAAGGGAAAATATATAGGAGTGTGGTTTTGAGACTGGTGTAAACCACAGCAAATAAAGACCTAGTAAGGTTCAGTCATTTTACCGTTGCCAATGCTTAATTCAAAAAGGAGAGAGCAACACTCTTCTGAAGGTTATTACTTCAGATTCTTCCTTAGTATTTTTACGGTTCATATAACAGTGGCATTTATAATATAACAGGTAATTCATTCATACGACAGCCTGCAATACAGATTAATCAAGGTTCTTGACAAATGAAATTAATTTTTGCAAAGTTAAAAAAGCAATTAAACTTCTCATGACATTTCCCCCCTTCGCCACTGACCTATTTTTGGAGCTAAATAATGTACTTATGCCTGAAGGGAATGCATTTCAGCCTGAGGAATGGAAAACTGCCATGAGCCAAAAATTTATTCACAGAAAAGTATGAGGCATTTAAGGTTGTCATCCATGCACAAGGGAAAAACAGTCTGCGAAGATGTAGGCATGATATTGAAGACTTCACCATAACAACCTGGAAATTAACTTTCCCCGTGTTCTTAATCCTGTCAGCTTTCAGACAGGTGTGAGTGATAGCAGATACCTTCAAGGGCAGCAAATGAATTTGTTGCAAAAAAATAAAGAAAAAACACACAAAACAAACCACACACAAGGAAGTGGAGGAATTTGTTATTGTAGCATCAATGTTATTTTTTCATTTTTGTTGCAAATAACAAAGCTGCTAATGGGTTTTAATTTCAAAATGCACTAGTTTTTGCTGTTGTTGTCTGTACACAATTAGTACCTCTAGTGAAAAGGCAATTCAAGAGGTCCACCATAAGGCACAGATGTCTTTTGACAACAACACTACAAAAGCTGCTGAAGTTTATTTGTTATAGTGCAGTAGAGAGAAATCTGTGGTCATAGCCAAGCAGTCAGAATATTCCTTTATTATGCATACATTTAACCTCTCAACAAAAATAATCTTCCGGGACTTAAAATAAAAAAAAGCAAAAAGACCCACTGGCTGAACAAAATGACCTGAATACATGGTCTGCCAAGTAGTTGTCTGACTAGGCCCCATTCTCAGGCCGTGTCTGCATTTTAGATCAAATCCTATTTTGTGCTCACTTGCTCGCTCCAGTATTATAATAGCATCCTATTTATTATCCCTGTCAGGTTTTGCTCACAGATTTATTGCCAGAAAAATTAACCTTTCCATGTGTTATGTAGGCTGGAATCACTTCAAAAAAAGTAGCGCCATGAATGACAAATGCATCATTTCATCATGAAGATGCTAGGACTGAATTTCACGCCAGATATAATGAAAGAGTAGGACAAGGGACACAACAACACCGATACACTCCTCCCTTTGCATCAGAGAACATACAAAGATCAGCTTTTCAGTGCCTGGCTGTCAAAATTTCTCTCCTTTTTCTGAAAAACCACAAGAGTGGGCACCTATCACTAACTGAAACTCTTGCAATGTTCAGTGCAACAAAACACCCTAATTGTAGTAGTAGTTATGATTGTTATGATTATTATATTTATTAATATCCCACATTTTCCCCTGACAATGGAAACACAATGTCATGCTAACCCTGAGTCTGGCATACTGTTAAAGCAGACAATACATTGATCCACTGAGCTTTAACAGTTGATACAAAACAAGTTAGATGGCTGCTGACAAGCTCATGTATTTGCAAATATAACTCTGAAACCCCACATGGAAAAGCAGCTGCTTCAGTGCTATTTTGAGTAGAAAAACTGCCCCTAGGGAGAGCATCAAGCTCCCCCTTCACCCTTCAAAATCACAGTGCTCTAAGGTTGTTTTTCATTAATAGTAATTCTTGAAGTTGGAGCCTCATTACAAACATTTTCATACAATATATAGTTTTCCGCAAGACCAACCTCATCTAAGTGCTTCCCAATACCAGCATACAAAATGCACTGTATAGAATGGAAGCAATTTAATTTGCTATAATATCTATGCCTTCATTCATCAAATTATTTCATTTTTAAAGACACTAGAAATGTTGCCACTACTCAGAATATGTAACAAATTTTCTTCTTCTTTAGAATGTAGAATCCATTTTTAAAAATCTCTTTTTTTGGAGAAACCTTCTGAAAGCAATTGGTTCTCAGCTACATTCCTCACCAGATATTATTTATTTTGAGATGACAAGAAAAGAAAAGCATATCCAAAGATCCATTACCATCTCTTAGTCGTTCCACTATAAAAGTGAAGCCTGTAGTTCTTGGATGCAAGACATATTCGTATTTCTGAAGTCCATTCTTTTCAGCAAATTCATTACTGCGGGCTTTGGTGTTGTCTATAAAGAGCATGAAAAACATTGATTAAAATCAGTGTTGTGACTAAGCTTTAGAACATTTTAGCATCATAGAGCACATCAGTGGAGCAAGGGATCAAGGAGATTATAAGAGATTAATAACACCAGGAAATAATTCTTGTTTTGCTTTCTTACATAAACATCTCCCCCCCCCCTCCCATGTTCAGTTCTTATTATGCAGAGAGTCAGGGAAAGTTGGTTGATGCAAAGCTTTGGGTCAAAGCTAGCCCTAAGCTAGCTCCTCCATGAGCTATAGGACTCAGCCTCAAACAACAGAACTCAGAGCAAATCCGAAGGCTTTTGCAGAATGATGCCCTAGGAACTAGAGGCAAACATTCTGTCAATTTGACATTATTCTAGCTCTCCCATGGAGGGAGGGACAAACAGGTAGAAAAACAGGAAGGTGTGGATAAAGAGTCAGACAAAAAACACACAAAAAAGTGTAACCTTAGCCAACAGCTTCCATTCCCAAGAGACACTGGTTGCTCCAGAAGGCTTCATCAATAGTCAATCAGGCTGCAACTGGTCACCAAGGTGGGGCTAAGGCATTAGAACCAACAAGATCAGGGGGAAAAATCCTTCTCAGGCACTAAGATTTGAGAGTATGCCAGTTGAAGCTGCTAGCAGATGGGCAATATTAGGGGCATTTAGCATTTAGCAACCAAAGGCAACAGCATTAGGAGGAAGAACAGGTACCACACACTGCACCTTTGATCTGTGGTACACATAGGAAGTCTTCACTTTCTTGCCACATGAAGCTCCACCAGGTTCTTCCTAGGTCTAACCATTTTTTGGGGGGAGAGAAATCTCCTACATCCCTAACCAAATTTGATACCCTTTTGGACACATCACACTACCTTACTTTTTCCAGCGTGTACAGAGGTCATATGATGCAGGGCTTCCTTTGCACTCGATCCAGAAGCTGCAGTTAGTGCAGAATGCTGCAGCATGGCTGCTGGCAGGAGTGAGGCCTTGTCAGTAAATGACACCTGAGCCCAGAGATCTGCACGGGTTGCCGATTTGCTACTGGGCCACATTCAATAAGTTACTACAAGTTACAGCCATTAACAACCTGGCGCCATTTTACCTGCAAGATCACCATACCCCATATTTGACCACTTTGATTCGCAGAACTGGCGCTGTCACAGTTACCACATAATACCTGTTCTGCATTTGTAAGAAATAAATATTTTGGTGTGGCAGTGCCTACAATTGGGAACTCCCTGCCTATTTACTTCAGGCAAGCTCCATCTCTGTACGTTTTTCAGTCCCTGCTAAAAACACTTTTCTTACCCAAGCTTACTCAGACATGTAATATGCAGATATATATTTGAACCTTTTTAGTTTATTCTTGATTTTATGTTTTGAATGATTTACAGAGTTGTTTATGTTTTTTTAACTGATAATTTTATTGTTTTACTCTCTTTGTAAATGCTGTTGAGATTTTTTTAAACAATCAAGCGTTGTATACATTTTATGAAATAGTGATAAAATAAATAATGAATATTTTTATTAGCCCCTAAAAATACTTGGTTCTGCTGAGATAATGGTATAAAAGAAAATGTACAAAATAAAATCTGGGAAGATAGTACTGAAATGCTTTTGCATCTTTAATGTTTCAAATGTACTGAGTTTAAACTTCACAGAAATATATTGGTGACGGAAAATCATGACATTCTGGGGGCAAGGGGATAGTGTGAAACTTCATAATCAAAACAACCTGAACAGAATATGATATTCTTTGTCATTAGAAAGTATTCTGTTTGTGCTGTCTTCCTTACAGGAACACATTTCAGTTTACTTGCCGTGTAAACCTAGCTGCTATATGCAAGAGCAAACATTTGCATTTGGTTTATTATTTATTCTATTTATGATGGAGCGCACAGAAGAAGAAAAAGCCACTTGTTACCTGCTGTCACACAGCGCTACTTTGCCTGGCAACACAATCTAAGAATAATCGAACTTTGTGACTCTCAGACACATAACAGAAAAAATGTCTTTAAGTACCTAGCAACCTGACCAACTTCTGGAACTATTTCACAGCTTGATTAATTCTGGGACATCAGGACCCCCCACTTGGTATATAAACAACTATTTCAGTGCTAGAATAGGAGGCACAGAGAAAAATACTTGCAGCAAAAAAATTATTCCTATATTGCCACCCCAAGCTCAGTATGTAGATGATTGCACTTCTCATCTTTCTTTTCAGATCTTACTCTCTTCTATTATCTTTCCTCTTGTTGCTTTTATTTAATTTATCACCAAGTAATGCCATTTCTTCTGGCAAAAGTGTGTCTTCTCTATCCAATTTCTCATCTTGAACTACTGTTAAATTCCTCCCTTTCCCTTGTCAGTCCAGAACTCTGCTGACAAATAATTTCTTTCTAGTTGTGCAGACCAGGCCAATCTTGATGCTACTCATTTTCATTCACACCAGTGGCGTAGCGTGGGGGGTGCAGGGGGGGGCCGGCCGCACCGGGCGCAACATCTGGGGTTAGGGCAAATCCACAGGTTAGGGGGCGCAAATCCACGGGTTAGGGGGCGCAAATTACTTGCCTTGACCCTGGTGCTGACAACCCACGCTACGCCACTGATTCACACCAATGCAAACTCTGTGACCCGATTTTTAAAATGCACCAGGTATATCCCCAAGACTTTTGCTCTTCTAATTTTGCCCCCAGTTCCTTGGAACACGCTTTGCTCTCTCAAGCATCTCTGCCCCTTCTCTCCTGCTGCCATTCTTTTATTATCCTCTCCCATCCCTCCAGCTTGTGCTCCCTTTCCTACTGTCAAACTTACTGTAAGTTCTTTGGGGCAGCATGTTGTTAATTTTGCTTATATTTCTTTGCCATGTTCCCTAACAATATTGCAATACTAACTCCTCAAAGGCATGAACGTGAGTATACTGGGATATCTCTGGATGAACATGAGTATACTGGGACATCTGTGTGGTAGATTGACAAGAATTTCTGATTCCCTGTTGTTTAACAATAGTAAAAAGTAACTTTTCCTAAATAAGGCTGCTAAAATTGAAGAAAGCTAACTGTTCTGCTGCTGAAAGCAAATTTCTAAGTTCAGAATGTGCTTGTAGACACCACATTCTTTAATTTCATACTATACTATACTATACTATACTATACTATACTATACTATACTATACTATACTATTATTATTATTATTATTATTATTATTATTATTACGGCTAGCTCTGGCTGGTAGATCTAGGAGTTCTAGTGAAAAACAAAGCTGTAAGTCTGTTCACCCCTTAAGTAAATATTGTTTATTATTTATTACATTTCTAAACCGCCTTTGATCCGAGGATCATAGGGCAGTTTACAATATAAAAACAGAAAAATGCAAAACATAATAACATATAAAACAATACCCCCCATCTCTCTCTCTCTCTCTCTCTCTCTCTCTCTCTCACACACACACACACACACACACACACAGGGAGAGGGAGACAGAGAACTTAAAAGTCGAAGCAGAATTTCTGAAAATCGGCAACCCATGTCAGCTCATTTTTTTTGCCAGAAAAATATAAAAAGAAAAAGCTCAACAACATTTGTCCAGATTTTCACTTTTTGAAATATGGCAACCCTAATTTAATTAGCTAAAGGGCTGAGGGTCCCTGGGGAGAGCATTCCACAATTTTGAATTTAATGTAGTAATGTTCAGATTGTACGAATGTGACTCGGAAGCGTTCAGCACTTCAAATACATTTATAAATTCTATTTATAAATAGAATTCCAAAAGTGCACTTTTGAGCCACAGACCATCACCAGGAAGCGGTGACTATACCCAAAGCAATGACATTTATTCCTCTCTGAAGGTCACTCCACATGGAAAAAGTGACAAAAATCACTTTTATTTGATTTACACAAGAAGAAAGTCCAGAGACAGTATGATACACCATCAAAATTATCAGTGAACCTACACACTTGTGCATTCGTGCTAAACCATAAAAGGTAAAGGGTAAAGGGACCCCTGACCATTAGGTCCAGTCGTGACTGACTCTGGGTTTGCGGCACTCATCTCGCTTTATTGGCCGAGGGAGACGGCGTACAGCTTCCGGGTCGTGGCCAGGTTCTGGCAAACCAGACTAGCACACGGAAACGCCATTTACCTTCCCACCGGAGCAGTACCTATTTTTCTACTTGCACTGGCATGCTTTCGAACTGCTAGGTTGGCAGGAGCAGGGACCGAGCAACAGGAGCTCACCCCGTCACGGGGATTCGAACCGCCGACCTTCTGATCGGCAAGCCCTAGGCTCTGTGGTTTAACCCACAGCACCACCTGTGTCCCGTGTTAAACCATGGCTTGGCCTTACTGTGACATGCAAAGCAGGCCAATGTCTCATTATAGACACACTGGAAGCACTGAGCTGGATGTATAGCAGGGATAAGCATGGTTGGGATTCCCTGCTCCCCACTGGGAGATTGTTGTTTCAAGGCAACTTACACATAAGATTATTAAAAACAGTTAATCCACTTAAAGAACCTTTGGATGTCACTTCACAACCCAGTCGAGTTTGGGGGCTGCCATACCCATCCAACATCCAGGTCGTAGAACGGCCAACTGTACCAGTTCACACCTTAGAAATTTCTCAAATTTCTGCTACTCCCATCAATGTGGGCTGGGTGGCTGCACTACCAAATAGCAGTAAGGATGATCCACAGTTGATCTGTGCCCTACGCCACACCAAAAAAGGTTGTGGCCATTTTGAACCCACTTCAGAATATGTGCAGTATTTGCTCTCACGCTCCTGCCCTATGGGTACTAGCATCACTTGTAAAAGTCTCATAAAGCATAACTTTTCAAGATAAAACACCACGGAACACATGACAGGTCAAACTTGCAATTTTCAATTGTAAACTTTTAAATGGCATAATTGTGACACATTTTTTTCTACCCTGAGAAGATTGGTGGGGAGAGAATTGAATTAAAGTACCTGTCAGATCTGTTCCTTCGGGAAAGATGAGAAGCTGCAGTGGTTCGTTAATGTCACAGAAGTAATCCAGCATATTTTCAAAATGATTTTTGTCTTCTTCCCATCTTCTGTGAATAAAAATGAAGGCAGCAACCTGCATGGCCCAGCCTAGAACAATTTTGAAGAGTCTTTTAAATACCGTGCTGGAAATTTCTTGCTTGTGCCTGTCCATAACTTAAGTTCTCAAATTATCAAACATAAATTTTGTAACACTGTGTTAAAAAGGATTATAGGAAGCTTAGGATTTGGAGAACGATTTAAGGGTTTAATAAATCAATTATACTTGAGGAACAAGGCAAATGCCCTAGTGAACAATGGTATAACAGAACAAATAACACTAGCCCGAGGGACAAGACAAGGATGCCCCCTTTCCCCAATTTTATTTGTACTGGTCATTGAAACTCTGGTCAATGTAATTATAGAATATAGAAATATAAAAGGAATAAGAAATAATGGAAAAGAGAAAATAAGCTTATTTGCAGATGACACCTTGCTAGCAATCAAAAATCCTTTGTAAAATATGCAGGTAATAGAGGCACATTTGAAAAAAAATTGGAGAAAAAACAGGGTTGTGAATTAATTGGTCCAAATCAGAGATGATGATATTTAACTACAATGAAGATGTAAAACAAAAACTTTGAAGGAAATAAAATAGATATAAAATTAAGAAATGCAATAAAGTGCTTGGGAATAAATATAACAAGAAATTTAGAAGATTTAGAACAAGAAAATCTTAACAAATTGAAAGAGGCAAAGGGTGTTTAAGGAGATAACAGAAATCACTGGGTTAAAGCTGGCCAAAAGTCCAGAGGTAGCACTGTTCTCAATTTGTGATGGGGTGGAAGGTTCACAGGTTATGATGGACTTGCTCACAAATTTACTGACAGCTGCACGAGGTATTATAGCTTGGCAGTGGAAGGGGTGAGGTGAATATAAAATGGAAGAATGGTATAAAGAGGTGTGAGATATAGCTATTAATGATAAATTACCATGTGCTCTTAAAGGTAAGACAGGGAATATGCAGGAAAAATGATTTTGATGAAATATGGAAGGTATTTGTAGAACTTGTATTGTTAAAATGGAAAGAGGTCAAATCATTGCAAGAGGTGTTGAAATTTGGGAGGTTGGATAGTTACAATGGAATGGTCTTGGGGGTGGGGGTGCACATTTTTATTTGTATTTATTTATTATTATTACTTTTGTTAAAATAAAAATAATAAAAAGGATATTAAAAAAACAGATAATTTTGTATGAAACCATAAGCGATTCTTAGGGAAGACCACTTTGCATGTAATACAGTTATTATAGAAAAAAGTGTATGAGCTAGCACTAAAAGATGTCAAATGCATTAGTGAAAGGTGTGGGGGGAAGTAGGTTTTGTGTTATTCTTAATGATATTAAATCAGGGGTGCAAAATAACACTAAGAGACTGAGTCATGATTAACATTAAAAACATGAGCTAGAACATAACATACTTGGGACCTATTAAGAATACACAGGCGAAATTTTCTTATAATTAAGTTTTTTTTTTAGCAGAAGTACATTTTTACAGCTTTTTAGCTCAATATCATTACTGAAACTCAAGCATCTTGCCTTCTCATTTCAATTTGCAAATTCAACTGCCTATCATTGTAAAGTGATAAGTCCTTGAAATGCACACCACTTGATCTTTCCTTTCTTTTTGCAGAATCTGACCTGTGCTGCATAAATTAATGCTTTTCACATGTGAACTCAGTGACCTGGCAAACAATTACCAGATTCAATATGGGGCAGAGTTGCTGCACTATTAATAGTTGTATTGAAGGGAAAATGTTGAGTGTTACAGTTTCACCAACCAAATAGATGCAGGAGAAGCCACTACAAAAAAAGTCCTTCATTTGAAAGCAAATGAGAGGTCCTCCAGATATTGTGAACTACAACTCCCATCATCCAAGACCACTGGTCATATTGGCTGGGTCAGATAGGAAATGTAGTCTACTGCATGTGGAGAGTACCATGTTGGCTGAAGGGTCCTCAAGCTGGAAACAACTACAAGATACCACATAATGTGTCAGAGACCATGTTGCACATATATCATTCATTGTAGGGCATGCTGCATAGCTATCTCTCCTTGTAGAAATTTGGAAGAAACTCCTTTACTCCAGGACATCAGCCAATAGTTCATTATGTAGCTCCCACCAGTAGGTAATTGAAAAAAAATTGAAAATGTGTTTTTCAATTATACTGGGGGTGGTATCTGCTCTCTCTCTCTCTCTCTCTCCCCCCTGTGTGTGTATATATGTGTGTGTGTGTGTGTGTGTGTGTGTGTGTGTGTGTGTTCTAAAAAAAACCACAGTGGATTTTGGAATATTGTTCATCATCTTGAGCACCACAGGAGTCAAAAGACATCTTAAGAAAATTTATAAACAAGCATACATAAATAAATAAAAATGCATGCAACAGATTGCATCAGTGACTTTTACATCGTTTTTCTGTGGCTGAAAGTAGAGTAGGTTAATTTCAACACTATGATCTAATACGGGCATTCAGATAACCCAATAAAGACCTATCTCTTCAGGGAAGGAAGAGAACTGGATTCTGTGTTCTCTAGGATTTAGTCCATGTAAAGTTCTTTTCCTGGTGTTGTAGTAATCATCCCATTAATAAATGCACTATCATGACTGAGGAAACCCTCAAATTCTAACAGAAGAATCCTACATATATTGACTAAGGAGTAAGCCAATGAGTTCTATGTTGCTTTCAGCCTAAGTCACTTGCTTCAAAAGACAACACTCTAAGTGGAGCAAAATAAAGAAATGTTTTTTTTTCTCTAGGAAAAAGCCGTTTCTAAAGCTTGCACAAAGTGCAAGACACATTTACTTCTTTTCTCCTTTATATGTGAAAGTAAATGTGAAAGCCTTCAATATTGTGGGGAATATGTGAGACGAAAAACATGAAAATTTAGCTATGAATTAAAGAAAATGTCACACAAGCTACAGCTTTGATATTATTTTTTAAAAATTGCAAAAGCATCCCTCTGCAATTCTACTTTATGTCCATGGACACTAGCATCTTTCATCACCAGCCATCTCTGGAAAAGCGAGTGCTTCCTTGTTTGATCCTTTCTCTACAGCCAGGATCCAACAAAATGACTTGAATGAATGGAGGAAGACTTGCATGCAGGTAAGGTTCAGTTTAATCATCAGTAAGGACTGCTGCAGCAAAACAAAACCTCAGCTGAATATCCGTCTATTATTTCTTTGAACTCTGGTATGCAGTATTCACCCCTAATCCAGATGCTCCTCTCATTGCTTGACATGCAACCTCAAGTCTGCCTACTTATTCTCAGTCTATAAGGCTGTTGGCATCCATCTGTCTCAGGAGACAATGGAATGTGTCTCCAAGGGTGAAGTCATTACTGGAACTAAAGTGATCTCCCCAGGGTACTAGCCTGGGCTGTGTGCATGGAGGTCCTGGGCTGCCCAGACGACAAGACCCCCCTCTCTAGTTAATCAGGTAGTAAGTACATTGGCTCCTTGCCCTCTACATTAAGATGCTTCTGAAGCTTGAGCTAGAAGGTATGGACATTTCAAGTGAATCGGAACATATTATTTCCTCTCCCCCACCCCTATTTTGTATAAACAAAACTTTTATAGGATGTTTAGTAAATGATTTGCTTACTTGAGTCATCTGGCACATTTGCTTAGCAGGCAAAAATATGCAAATTAGTTGTTTTTAGTGATTTTAACACACTGGCCTGAATTGAGTTTACCTATGGGAGACTAGGTGAACGCTTTTTTAACCAAACCTTTGGCCTTTGTGTTTTGGTCCCTTCAAATTATTATTCTAAGCCATCGCTTTTCACAAAATGTTCCCTTACAACACAGACCTTTATGAGACCAGACTTATTTAAAGCATAAAAAGCAGAATTACAAGTTATTACAATAGTCATTTTATTCCCCTTTCCTAGCACGAATTTAGAGCAGAGTTAATGTTCCAACTTCCAAAATAATAATAATAATAAATCTGGTATGCATCTTTCTGATGTAAACAATTCTACAAGAGTGATAACACTACAGAGAACACTTTCCAACATACACTCCCAAAGCTACCTCATAATATAAATAACTCTAAAGTAATTAAGTCTGACAGCCCTTGATGAAATTGCTGGAAGATATCACATGTCACTGTTGCTCAGACTCTCACTTAAAGAGTCCATTGCCTCCAGTCCACAAAGCAAACCACAAGCTATTTATACAGCACTTAGATAATGGAAGGCCTATGCTTAACAGAAACCTTTGACCCTACTCAAATACTATCTTTCACAAAGAAAGAGGTGGCCTCCCTGTGGAGGAGCTGTGGACTTGACCATTTCCACAATTTTATTACTGCATTATGCATAACTTGGAAAAACAGACCAAGGTCTAACCATACAATTTTCTGATGCAGCTAACGCCATGCCATGGTTATTTCCACATGTGTGGTATTGTGTGGAACACCCAAAATGCAATTCAAAAATAACCTGCAAAAGTCACTATATGAGAATTTTATTATCTTAAAAAAATTGCAAGGGAAGCAGCCATCAGGGAATAGCTAACACTGAAAGACTTCTGGAAAAGTTATCCCACCATAGCCTTCCACCTCGAACAACTCCTGGATTCTCCTGAATCTCTCAGCAGGTTTTGATACCATCAGCCATGGTACCCTCTCTGTGGTTGGGAGATGGAGGCATAATATTATAATGATTCTGCTGCAACCTGCAGGGCTGCTTCCAGCGTGTAGCATTGGGTGACTTCTGTTCAGCCCTTTGGCAATTGTGCTGTGGGGTTTGGCAAAGTTCCATGTGGTCCCTGGTGCTATCTAGCATCTATATGAAGTTGAGTGCAGTTATCACAGGATTTGGGGCTCAATGTCATCAATGACAACCAGCGCTGTTTCTCCATGCCATCTGAACTAGGTGAAACTGCTTTGGTGGTAGTCCAGTGTCTGGAGGCAGCAGTGGGATGCATGAGGGCCAATAAACTGAGGTTGAATTTTGACAAGATGGTGGTGCTGTTGGTAAGTGATTCCCAGAGTTGCATTCATCCATAAGCAGCAGGTTCAGAGTCTGGGGATACTCCTAAATCCAGTGCTATCACCACTTGAGGCTCAGGTGGATTTGGTGGTGAAAAGGACCCATCAGCTGTGGCCATTCCTGCACTGGCCACAGTGGGACATGCTCTGGTAACCTCACGTTTCACTTGCACAGAAAGTGTGCAACTCTAATATAACTCTAATATAACTTCCCACTTTGCTGTGGAAAGAACACCAGGAGAGGAAGAGAGAGAGGCAGGCAAACACCTTAGAACTTGCTCGATGTTCCCATTCCTCATACAGAGTCATTTAGCATCAATTGCCAACTGAGAAGGATACTGATAAAATGTTACATTTTAATGTTATTGTGATTTTGTTAATGTATTTTTTGGAAGGATTTATATCCCCAAAGATAGGATTTAATAACTGATTGACTGACTGACTGACTGACTGACTGACTGAAACAGCCAGTAAATAGCAAGGGTTGTATTAAATGTTCCATGTGCAGAGTTCCAGAGGTGAAATGGGACCTCTGTTTCCTCTCTTTCCCTGTGCACCCCCAAAATCTTCTCTGAAGAAATCCCCAAACCTTCAGAGCTGATTATAAGAATGTGAGAATGGGGGCTGGAAAGGATAGGAGATAAAAAGGAAGCTCCACATGCATGCATGGAAACCCACTGCAGCAGCATTGAATACAACTCCAGAATTTTGGCAAAACAAATTGAAGTTATCATCATCACGCCGTCCTTGCTGATATTTGCTTATTACTGGCAGAAGCTCTAATGGGTAATTTAAGTTTCAAGAATGGTAAGTAATTAAAAGAAAAAAGGCAAATGCTCTCCAAGGTACTCTTTGTTCATTCTTACAGTTATAGCACTGGTAAGTGAACTGTACCATACCATACATTCCACAAGTTAATTGGTGAAAGAGTAAAGATGACCTAGCAATAAATGGGTATGATTAAACTGATGAAAATTTTGTTTGAGAAGTGAAAGCTTGTTAGAGCCTATACGTTTAACAGAACAAAACTGAAGATTGGTATGCACAATGCAACCGGTACCTTAATAGTTTCTGATGATATCAGCTGAGAAATCAAAGTAATAGTAGAATAGTGAGTGAAAGCAATAAATACAATCAGAACTTTTCTGAAAGGGCAAACTCTAAATAGTGGAGGGTGGCCAGTTAACTTAATTTTTACAAGTGTACACATAAAACAAAGTATATTTTTGTGAACCAGTGAAGTGAACAGCTTTTGCTAAATGAACATCCTGCTTGTGGGATTTCCATAATAGGCACCTAGCTGGCCACTATGAGGAACAGAAGGCTGGACTAGATAGGTCTTTGGAGCTGACACAGGAGGGCTACACTTGTGTGCTTAGAAAGTTTCAACACAGGCTACATGCGTAGCCCCTGACAAAATTGGTATGTGTACCACACTATCTATTATCACCACACTAGGATATACTCTATATAAGATAAAGAGAATACAAACAATGTCTTGAGACTTCTCAAGTTGATTGAGGCTGACAGTGCCATGGCTACATTTGAAGAGTTGCTGTTTATTTTCTACCCCTTTTAAATGCAAAAGGAAAGCGCAGAACTACTTCACAGGCCAGTTTCGACGTGATGAACTTGGCCTAATAAACCTGAGTTTATTATGGCACACATCAGCTTCAGAGATTCTATTGTGGTTTGTTTAAAAGGGAGAGGAGCGCTCCAGGCCCAACATGCATTGTTGGCTTTAAAGGTGATGGTTCGTTACAACTGAATGGGCTCTTTGTTATTTCCTTTCTGTCACTTACATTCCATCAAAATAACACAGCTGTGAACAGCAGAATCTTCAGTACTGAGTAGGTAAGAATAAGTGTTCTTAGTAAGTTTTAAACCAAGAATAAAAAAGTATAGTGTTATCAATGACTACTACTCATGATAGCTATATGCTGCCTCCAGGTAGAGAGGGAGCATGCCCCAGAATAACAGTTGCGGGAGAGGGCTACTGCCCATTGGTCTTGCTTACAAGTTTCTCAAAAGGCATCATGGGAAGGTAAAAGGTAAAGGTACCCCTGCCTGTACGGGCCAGTCTTGCCAGACTCTAGGGTTGTGCGCTCATCTCACTCTATAGGCCGGGAGCCAGCGCTGTCCTCAGACACTTCCAGGTCATGTGGCCAGCGTGACGAAGCTGCTCCGGCGAACCGCCGTTTACCTTCCCACTAGAAAGCGGTACCTATTTATCTACTTGCACTTAATTGTGCTTTCGAACTGCTAGGTGGGCAGGAGCTGGGACCGAACGACGGGAGCTCACCCTGCCGCGGGGATTCGAACCGCCGACCATGCGATCGGCAAGTCCTGGGCACTGAGGTTTTACCTGTTTCATGGGAAACAGGATGCTAAAAAATAAGCAGCCTTTGGTCTGATCCAACAGAGCGCTTCTTATGCCTCCTCTTTTCCAGGCTAAACATACCTAGCTCCTTCAACTGTTCAAATACAGCTTGGTTTCCAGACCCTTGATCATCTTGGTTGCCCTCCTCTGCAAATGTTCCAGCTTGTCAATATCCTTCTTAAATTGTGGCACCCAGAACTAGACACTACTCCAGGTGGGTCTCAACAAGACAGAATACAGCACTACCATTACTTCCCTTGATAAGGACACTATGCTTCTGTTGATGCAGCCTAGAAAAACATTAGCCTTTTTTGCTGCAGCATCACACTGTTGATTCATGTTAAGCTACTGGTAATCCATGTGTCCCTCATCGTATATTTGTGCAGCTGTTCTTCCTGCCAAAGTATAGAACCTTATATTTGTCCCTACTGAAATTTATTTTGTTAGTCTGGGCCCTGTCTACTGTATGCTGAAGGTCATCAAGCCGACCAACAAATCCACCTAACAGTTACCTCATCCAGACTACATTTTACCAGCTTCTCTGCAAAAATAGCATGGGAGACTTTGTCAATAGCCTTACTGAAATCAAGATAGACTATGTCCACAGCATTCCCTGATCCACAAAACTTGTATGTCTATCAGAAAAAGAAATGGGATTTGTCTTCTAAGAGTTTGACTACTGTGCAATAAAAACAAGACAGCACAAACAAATATGCATCTGATTTGAAGAGAGTAATATTTTAAGACACATTTTGAAAACAAATTATTTTAGACTATGTGAATTGGAAAGCAGTTTACATGCTTAACAGATAGAAGGTTTCAGATATCATTTTGGAATTTTTCTCTTTCTGCATGGCTCCACAGATCCCTTAAGACAGCTAACAATAATGCCGAAAAATAATAAATAGAACAATGAAACCCATCATTATAAAAACAGCAGAGCTAAAATCAAATATTCTGAACTACCATATAAGGTAGCAAATATTACAACAACATATAAAGCTAAACAAAAAAGAATTTTTTTATCATGTTGGTGACCTACCAAATCCTGGAATGCCTTTGAGGCTAGATTTGAGACATATTTTTTCAAGTCTGAGGTAGCTATATCTCAGCAGGCAGTTCCATAGGAACATCCAGTCCATTCGAGTTCGGTGGTTCATGATAATGACACTTCTTTCTCCGGGGATGAATCCATCACCTGTTATAACCACTTTTGCTCCAAATACAATCTCCAGTAAGGCCTAAGAGAAATAATTTGATTTTATATTAACTTTGAAAACATGCAAATATCTGAGAACAAATAATTTACAATGATATAAATCAAGACATTATCTTGCAACAAAGGTTTATAGTAGCCAGTGCATGTTTCTAAGATGTACCTAGTTTTTTAAAAGTATTTAGCACAATGGTTTGGGGAAAGCATTTGAGGAGTAGCATACTGTTCAACGGCACAGTACCAATGGGACTATTACAGAGCACCCACTGCAGGAAAAAAATGCGGACCTTGCATACTCAAAGGACGCAATGTCAAATAACCACATGATTCAGAAGAACCATTATAGTTATCGTGAAAGCAGCAGAAAATCGACACATTAATTCAAGGCAGTCATATTTATCTCCCCAAACAATGAACACCTTCACCCTTCCATGCATGAAGCAAGATTTGCCTGCGCTGTGGGATATCCTGCCTGATAGCATCTACCCTTTGGATGACTCCTTCTGGGAAGCCTCATCCCACACCAATCTCTTTATGCCTTTCTCTGACACTGCTCTTTCTGCCCATAGACTGGTCAGGCTGTGGTTTGCTGCATGGCAGAATCATTTAACTCAGGGGTTGGAAACCTTTTCGGCTCCATGGGCTGATAATGATACGCTTCACAGGACAACCCACCTGTCAATCTCCTGACTTCCCTATTATGTCAGCTGCAGGGTGCTTTGTAGTCCCAAAGTCAGGACTTCAAAGCACCTTGCAAGGCCAGTGCCCCCCTTCATTTCAGCAGGAGTTTCCATACAGGCCCCCTTTCTGAATCAGGAAGGTGCTGCATGGAATCCAGCCAAACCAAGCAGGATTTATCAGCTGACAAGCATGGAGGTCAAATCCTGCTGCTTCAGCTGTGCTGCTCCCCTGTTCCTTGGTTGGAACAGGAATGTAGCCCACACAGGATTTAACCATAGCTTCCCATCCATCAGATGATGTCATGAGTGACATTAGCAGATGGGTGGAAATGGCTTTGGGAAAATGGCTTTGTGGGTCAACTTGAGGCAGGCCAATATTGGCTTGTAAGTCAGAAGTTCCCTACCCCTGACATAATTAATTGGTATTGTTATAATTTTTATGAGTTTTGTCTTTTTTATATAAAAAAGTTGCACATCAGCTTGAATTGTTATTAGAAAAGACATTTTAAAATTACTACGCAAGTGAATAGTATTTACACTATTTGAACAGTGAAGGTTATCCAGCTTCAAATTATAGAGGAAATAACTTTCTTCCCGTCTAACTGATCACAGAGTTGCTTTGAGAATAAAGTAACTATGGACATGTAATCCTGAGCCTTTCAGAGAAAGGTTGGGATACAAAGATAATGGTTAAAAACAACCAATTGCAATGGCAGAAAAGGTGACGAAGGCACTCAGACCCACAACAGAATCAAAACACCAATTTTCTTCCCGGAACTACCCAAGGGGAAAAGTGAAGCCTTCTAACCCAAAATAAACCTTGACGTTTGGAATATAAAACAGCATTAGAATTAGAAAAGATGAAGGAACAAGGAAATAAGACAGACAATGTCTCATCTAATCAACAGAGATGTCACTTACCTCTGTGAAGGGCTTTTAGTTCCCTGTGTGAAATGAACTATATAAAGAGCATAAAGCATTAATGGATGACTCAGCTAACTGCAGTACTGGCATGTTATTATTGATCAAGGTTAAAAATGAACCATTATAAAAGCATAGCAAACTCTGCACCGCTATTCGGACTGACCATCTATCGAGGTGGGAGAGAGATCGTTTTGCTCATTAACATGTTGCTTACAACTATTAACACACAGTGGTAGCTGGTGCCTCCAACAAGTGTGTGTGCTGCAAGTGTTCCCCAGCCCAGGTTCATCCATCAAAACCATTCCTACTTTCTCAACCTCAGTTTTGCCCATGAAAGTCTTCCCTATCAGTTATAATAGATAACCGGAGCCCCCACGCTCAGAAGCAGTATATCTCCAAAGAGGAAAAGAGTGGGTTCTGTGGCCCTCATGCCCCACCTGTAAGCTTTCTAAAGGCATCGTGGGGTCATCGTGGTGCAACAGATGGACTAGGACTGAGGAGACACAGATTCAAATCCCCAGTCTACCACTCTTTCTCAATCCAACCTACCCCAAAGGGTTGTTATCCTAATAAAAGGAAGAGGGTGAAGAGCCACATACACACCCCCTGAGCTTCTTGCAGTACATAAATGTAGTAAGTTAAATAATTAAATACAGGTAAGATTGCTGGACTCTATGGCTTAAATCTTAAAATAAGGCACCTTAAGGAATTCCACAGAAGGAAAGTTTTCCATCCCACATGAAGCCACTTTTGTCCTCCAATGGTTGGATCACATGGGGTACAGGAAGTGGATCAGATACGTAGGGTACAGGAGGTATTTTTTGGGTGTCATCAGTCTATATGTAATACCTGTGTGGTGCTGTGATTAGAATGCTGCACTAGGGACTGAGCCATTCAGTCATGAAACTCACTGGGTGGCCTTGGGCCATTCACTGCCTCTCAGCCTCGTTAACCTCACAGGGTTCTTATGAGGATTAAAATGGGAAGGTTCAGGACTGTTTGAGACTGGAACAGACTTCCATGAGAGGTGGTGGACTCTCCTTCCTTAGGGGTTTTTATTCAGAGATTGGATAGTCACCTGTCATGTGTGATCTAGTTGAGATTCCTGTATTGCAGTGGGTTGGAGCAGATGACCCTCAGGGTCCCTTCCAACTGTACAAATCAGTGGTTCTGTACCTAAAATTCTATGCATTTACATCACCTTGAGCTCCTTGGGGAAAGGTGGGATATAAATGAGATCATCATCTTATGAAAAAAATGAGAACTAGAGAATTAGTCACTTCAGGGCTTATGCATGACAGAGCAGACAAAGAAACATATACCATGGGACATATTTGTAAGTTCCACTACTTCTACTATCAGTCAATAAGTTGTTCCTTATTAAAAACAGGTTTTTAATATGCTATCAGCCTTGAACCAAAGAATGAACGAAAGAAGTAAAATGAATTTTACTTCTTATTTAGCCAGAATTTTTATTTCAGAGCTCTGCTCAGAGAAAACAAAGTAATACAGTGGTGCCCCGCAAGACGAACGCCTCGCAAGACGGAAAACCCGCTAGACGAAAGGGTTTTCCATTTTGGAGGCGCTTCGCAAAACAAATTTCCCTATGGGCTTCCTTCGCAAGACGAAAGCCCATAGGGAAATCTCCGGGACAGCGGGGAAGCGCAGCGCGTCTTCCCCACTGTCCTCGGACCTCCTCCGAAGGCTGGCGGTGGGGCGGAGAGACCTCCTCCCGCCGCCTGCCTTCGGAAGGCTGCTCCGAAGGCTGGCGGCAGGAGGAGGTCTTTCCGCCCCACCGGCAGCCTTCGGAAGGCTCCTCCGAAGACTGGCGGTGGGGCGGAGAGACCTTCTCCCCGCGCCAGCCTTCGGATGGCTGTCCAGAAGACTTGCGGTGGGAGGAGGGTTTTCCTTCCCACCGCCAACATTCAGAATGCTGTTCTGAATGTTGGCGGTGGGGAGGAAAAACCCTCCTCCCACCGCAAGCCCCGGGAACAGAGAAGAAGCGCTGCGCGCCTTCCCCTCTGTTCCCGTATCTGTCCTGAAGGCTTGCGGTGGGGAGAAAAGCCCTTCTCCGCACCGCCAGCCTGGCAAGTGGTCTCCATAGGAATGCATTAATTGATTTTCAATGCATTCCTATGGGAGACCGTGCTTCGCAAGACGAAAAACTCGCAAGAAGAAAAAACTTGCAGAACGAATTAATTTCGTCTTGCGAGGCACCACTGTATGTAAGTGACTATATGGTACAGATTATTTACGGATTCTAAATATTTGTAAACCTCTAAATGCATAGCCTCTGTGCAATATTATTAGATATTTGAAATCCATTTTAAGAAGACAGGAATCATAGAATTGTAGAGGAGGGAAGCACACCTGGTAGAGTTTCTAAAAATGCTGGCATTACGATAATTCAGGAAATGAATCAAATACATGATCAGAAGAAAACCGTTTGTTCCTACATTGATTTATTTCCAAAGACTCACCAAGTTCCCACTGAGTTCAATGGAGCTGGCTTCAAATTAATCTTCTTTGGGCTGCAGTCTCAGGGCACAATTATAACTCCCCACTGCTGTTGTTTTTTAAACAGGGAACAGCAGTGTTCATGTGTTTCTGTGAGACTGCAGTTCATAAACATAGTGCTGGAGATGAGATGGTTGAACTACAGCACTTCAGACCTAAATATACATTTTCTTCCATTCTGATTTCAGCATTCCACTAAAATCCAAGTGGGACCTGCAACAAAATGTTGCAGTGTGAAGTGTTCCTGTTCAGGGTTCCAGCTGGCCAACCAAGATCTTACAGGACACTCTGTTCCATTCCCTCTGGTTTTCCCTTCCTTCAATAGTCAGCCAGCGTTTTGCTGCAACGGTAGTCAAGCTTCATTCACATTCATTCGCCCGGTGCTTCTTTTCTATAGTTCTTAAAGTCTATATGAGATGTATGCACATGTACTCCTGATTAACATAGATACCCAGCATAGGATATTGCTTTGATGGCTACTCTGCCTTGTCACCTTACCCCTCAAGTAAGCTTACAAACAAAAATCATGTCAACCAACAACAACAAAGTTGTTTTTTCGGGATGCACAGTTAAAACAGCAGAAAAACAAGAAACTCATCAATACAGTGGAACCTCCAGATACGAATTTAATTCATTCTGGGGGTCCGTGTGCATCCCGAAAAAAACATAACCAGAGGCGCCGTTTCTGAACATGCGGCAAAACCTGGAAGGATACACTTCCAGGTTTGCCGCATTTGTAACCTGAAAGTTACATAACCAGAGCAGTATGTAACTGGACGGTCCACTGTACAGTGAAACAAACACATAGGTAACATTTAAGAGGTCTGGTAAAAATTTTGTTTTAAAAAATGTATTACTGGTCTGCTAACCACCTAAAGCTTACAAATTATTTTTAAAAGACTCTTCACTGTCATTACACTGATATATTAGGGTTAATAGGTGGTGACCTTGTCAGGCTGAGGACACTGTGTGCTGGAAAGAAGTGACCTGAGAGTTATAGCTGTTAAGCATAGCAGTTCATCTCAAACCATTCCAACCAGGAAATCCTATCTTTTTTCTCTCTCTCTCAAATAAATTACTATATTTTACATGGAAAAGAAGGAAAAAACATGACTACTTGTTGATGAATAATTAAAGGCGGATCATTCAAAGAATGAAGAAACAAAGATACCTTACAATAAAGCAGACTGCTGAATATTATAATTGAATTTTCCATTCCAGAACAGAACAAGGAGTACTGTTAACTTATCTGATAGCTGTTCTTCCTTGGCCCTTCTATAGTTTGTCATTTTGGCCATCTGCCAAAGTCTTTCCAGTCCAGACACCTCCCAATCTCTGTCTCAAGTTTAGACACAGTTGTCCAGCACCTTCTGCCATTAGCTCTGAAGCTTATCCTGACAGGACATAGAAGATTATGCCTGCAATCCTAGGTACACTTAGGATAATAAGGTCTACTGAACAGGGCAAGGTTGTGTTGCATGGCTGCAATTCTATACCTGAAACTAAGTCCAAATATTGAATATAAAAAGTCATTGTTTGGCATTTTAAGACTGGGTGGTTTGAGCAGTTGGGACTTTTCATAAGATGTAAGATATAAGATATAAGCAACTTACCACTGGAAGTGTAAGCCAAGTAGCCACAACGCGATCAGTGATCCAGCGATACCAAGATGGGGAGAAAAACATCAATGGCAGCAAGGGGCCAAGCATGAAAATGCTTCCGAAAAAACTTCCCAAGAATAGTGTAAGTACAAAATAAATCCCTTTCCATGACACCATGGCTCTGAAAAAGAGAAAGAAAGGTGTTTATGGAAACAGCTTCAGTGTTGATGTCTTCCTGAATTGGCTCCTCTCCAAGCTTTTCAACTGATGGTACTCAATTTCTGTCATACATTTTGGATTTGAAACTACACAGAGGGGAAGAAAACCAGTTTGTTGGCAAGTCAGCCTCAGGCCAGAGATGGTCAATTTCCTTAAAGCCACTCTGTACCTCCAGCGTAACCCACAATACAGCTGCCTAGATAACTTGTACCCTATAATCTGCCAGGATCCGTGCATTCAGTATTGTCAGCCTAATTCTCTCTCCCAGTTGAAATCAAAACAGGCCGCCTGCCTCCCTGAACTACAGGCACTTTGTGAACAAAAGGAAGTTTTTTTGGTAAAAATTTTAACTTGTTTTATCTGCTGCATCTCCTTTGTAACCTCACTGTACACTGCTTAGAAACTACGCTGCTAAGCTGTGTATAAATTGTTGAATTAAAATAATTAAATAAAACCATTACTTCAAAAAGTAAAGGAACATAAAACGCTGAGGTGGGGGTGAGAATATGCGATTCTGAATGAGGCCATACCAGAGGCAAGGGGTTAAAGCCTGATCCCTCCAGGTACCGGTCCAGCTCTGGCCCCCAAGTCAGCTTTTGAATAAATCATGTACGGCACTAGCATAACATTTAGTTTGGCCTTCAGCCTAATGGGAATTCAAATGAGGGTGTCCAAGGGAGCATATCTCCCTGTCTGTCTTTACTCTAAAATTTTCTCACCTTCTGCTGCAGAATATGTTACTGCAGAACTGACCCCTCTGTAAGAAAAAATGCTACATCAATTCCCAAATCACCATTGCAACAGACTCTGGGATGAATACAATACATAACCAATCTCTATTAAGATATAATCAGAATAAAATTATAAATATAATTAAGATAATATAAATTATGAAAAGACTATCAGAGTAGCTCTACTGTCGGTTAGAACCATAATGTAGATCTGTTATTAAATGTGCTAGATACAATAAGAAATGTTGCTGGCCAAATGTGGACCAAAGAGTATCTTATTATTGTCTAGGAAACTTTCCATCATAGCAGCCACCTTTTATCATTAAACAAATATGGAAACACTAATTTTCTAAATTAGAATCTGCAAATAGCCAGTTTTCCATTATTTAGGATTAAATTGGTTGTTTAGAAGATGAGGAGCTTAGCACAGGCTTTTCTTGTTCGCTACTCTGAAGAGCTCTCTAAAAGGCAGCTTTAAAATTACATGCAAGAAATCACACAAGACAGACAGGAAACTAGTGCTTTCAGTTTGGTGGAAGTGGGGAGGAAAAGCAGTGGAAAAGCAACCCATTACGCAAAGCCATTGGAGCCCATTTATTTTCAAGTTCCAGTAAAGCATGAACATGCAGAACCTGGCTCTCTCCAGCAAATCAAGATGTGAGTACAATGGAATGGTGACTGAATTATCTAACAAATACATTGTGTCAAACAAGCACAGATTTTCTAAAATTGTGGCTTTTAGTTTTGGTAAATAACAGAACACGAAAAAAAAGTCTCTTGTTGTTTACAAAACACTAACACACGTACTGCTTATAAAGGAGAGGGCTGTCTTCCAAGCTTTTCATTCAGAATGCCAGAGAGTATTTTTAGTAAGCAATACAGGAAATATTATCCAATCCACCTAATTTGCATTTGGGAGGACTAGCATGAAGTTCCACCTCTGCCACTGACTCACTGTCTTGGTTCACACATAATGCTGAACCATGGTTTAGCTTTTTGTGCACAATGCTAACTATGGTTTACTAAAACAGATCAGGGTCCATAATCATGTTTTGAACTTTGCTTATTTCAATCAATCATAGCTAACTCTAACTACAGTTTGTCCAGATTCAGGCATAACAAGAACACATGGATAGTTGAAAATGGAAGACGGAAGCAGAAATTTCTGATATCCTCTTCTCAGCTGCACTGGAGGCAGAAATGCACAAGCTTATTGTCCATGCACATAGTGCAGGAGGTGTATACAGCTGCTGGGCTTGTTTGCATGTAACACTAAATCATGGTTCAGCATTATGGAGGCAAGTCTCAACAAAGCATCAGGCTCACGTTACTTTCCTTGTCCTCCTCTGCCAAGTTTACCTTAAATGTCAAAGCATGATGGCTTAACATCATGTGCAAACACAATCAGCAGTTAAAACATGCCAGCTAACCCATGGTTTGAGCTCCGCTTGTTTTAGAAACTAACCACTGTTTGCTTTAAGCCAGAATTACTGGTTCACAAGTAATACAAAGCCAAGATTCTCTGAAGCTGAAACTAAACTTGGCAGGAGTCCTCCTCCTGGATGCAAGGGCGCTTGCACTTCCACCATCACCAAGTTATATACTGCAGTTTATCAAAAGATCCCAGGGTGGCGTACAGCATTAAGAACACATTTTACAGAATGTCAATAGTGAAAACATAATAAAAAGCATAACAATGTGATAAAATAATCATAATAAATGTCCCCTGGCACCTAAAGAATGTAAATAATGGTTTCCAGGTGAGCCTCTCTGGGGGAAAGCATTCCACAGTCAGGAAGCCACCACAGAAAGGGCCTGTTTTTGTGTTGCCATCCTCCAAAACTCTCAGAAGTGGAGACATAGAGATAATAAGTGCAGGATCTGGGTCAGTTTGCATGGGGAGAGGTTGTACTTAGGGTACTGAGGTCCTGAGCTGTGTAAGGCTTTATAGGTGAACAGCAGCTCTTTGAAATGGGCCTGGAAACTAACTGGCAGCCAATGAAGTTGGGCCAGGATTGGTCAAACCATCTTGTTCTGGTGAGCAATCAGGCCATGAGGCTTGTTAAGGCTCATCCATGTAGCATTAAATAATGGGAAAGTGTTATGCGTCAACCAACCCATGGGTTTCATTCAAGCATCATGCCGTACATGGTTTCTGCTAACCATAGTTAAGAACCGACACCATGGCTTATGCTTCCAAATACATAATAGGCAATCCATGGTTTAGAGTTGCTTGCCCACTTTCATTATCCATCTGCTCAGCACTCTGCTTAATATTTTTGAAGTGCAGCAACTCCCACCTCTGTGGAGCACCGGCACCTGATGGTTTGCAATTTGGTTGTCATCCCATACTATATTGGTACTTGTCCATCGTAATGCTCCAATACATGTGCAGTGTGAAAAGAGGAAAACACTTGGTAAGGAAAGGGAGTTGTGTGGACTGGATGTAGTTGATTTCATTCTCCTTTCTTTCTCTATTTATCTCCATTTTGGGTGAGCTGTGTGGTGGGGGGAGTAAATATACAGTATAACAGCAAGCAGCAGGCACAAACTGTAATTTTCAAGCAAGCCCCTCCCAAATGGTGGTTTGCGAGCTGACAAAGGTTCAGAAGTAAAAGCATGGCCTCTGAATACAGCCAGGATAAGAGCCTGAGTAAGTCACTCTGTCTCATTTCACCTTCTTCAAGCAAGAATAATCACCCCTGGAGACGCACTGCATTGTCTCTTGAGACAGACAACAACAAGGAACTTTAAGCACCAACAGTTGGGTTGAAAGTAGCTGCTCTTCATTATCTCAGTCTTCTTAGGTTCATGTCAACTTAAAATGTATTCAGTAAACTTGGGGAACAGTGCAAACTCTCAGTGAGCTTTCAGCATAAATTCTTAAAACCTTCCTGTCACCGAAAAATACTAAATTACCATCCTTTTTGTCATTTTGTCTCTGTCTGTGAATTAAATAAAAGCTTCAACCCAGATACTTGCTTGCCCAAAGTTCTCCATGATCCACTGCTTGCTTCTCAAAAGCTAAGGCTACTTAGGAATTTAAAAATATACATTATGTCCACTCCTGAATGACACAATAGAAGTAGTCATTCAAAATCTGAATTCAATACATTGCTACTACTTTGTCCAAACAAAGCAAAAGCAACTCCATCCCAATATGGTCCATTTTGTTAATCAGCTTAGGGAAACATTTTTTCCTACACTCAACAGCCATCTTTTCCTATAACAGGAACAAGTTTGCAAACCTTCTAAAATACCATATAAAAGCTTTATTCCAAGTAATTTTCCACTTCTACAAAAAGATTGAGAAGTGTGGGGAAGAATTAGGTCAAAGTGGAGGCTGGAAATTTTGAGATACAACTCTACTGCAGCACTAAACAGATTTCTCATCTATTTTGTGGCAGAACTCCAAGTTATTGGTTTATCGTACATTCACATTTTCTTGTTGCCATAGCAAGAGAAAAACATTTTCTGTTTCCAGGTAACAGGGGACAGTAAATCCTAAAATATTTTGTTTTATTTTTCAGTTAATTTTAAACATTCTTGGCTAAGAATAGAAAGTAACTTTCCAAAACAGTTGCATTTTTATTCCAGTGTTTATTATTGTAATAAACATACAAAACACACATAACAAAATCACATAAAACAAAAATATTTCAAAGCCAAAACTCCTAAGAGCATCAAAAGCATGCTAATCTATATAGAAACTCTAATGTACAAATATTCCCAAATCATTCAACACTATTTATTGACTATAACCTTCCAAAAATAACTTTAACAAATTGTTAGATCTAGTCAGTGTCAGTTCCTAACTTGCAATACCATGTACTCCTTTGCCTCCTTCCTCGGTACTTGCATCTTGGTTTAATTAAACTGAAGTTAGTCATTACATTTGAAATGGGATGCCGTGATTTAACACCACTTTCCTAACCTGGCTGCTAAACTATGAATTGGGAAGCTGGGAACTGAGCTTCCAAACCAGGCCATCAGCAGTACAGTACAATGTTAAACAAGCCTACTTGACTTCAATGAGGTGTGCTCCTAGATGAGTTAAGAATGCGGCCAGACAGTGCAATCCTAACCATGTCCACTTAGTCCTCCTGAATTAAATAAGACTTACTCCCATATTAGTGGGGTTAGGACTGCAGCCCTAGTCATTCAGCAACTCCAAATTTCAGGTTTGTACTTTCCCATCGCTTCAGAACAAATCATTTTAATTTTTTGTTTA